CGGAGCAGAGCCGCGCCACCCCCGTCCCCGCAGCTGCCGGCCACCCCCACCCCGTGGTCCCTGCACCGGGCACAGCGGAGTCCGGACGTGGGGTGGAAGCGCAGCCCTCCCGCTGGTGGCCTGGGGGTCTGGACTCGCCCGGCCGGTGCTCACCGTCTCAGGAACCCGGCACCGCCGTGGCGCGAACAGGCCCGCGTGCCGATGAGGGCAGGGTTGGTGCCGCCCGTGGCTCCGCCGCTCGCTCACGGCTTCCCATCCCGCTTCCGAAACGCGCCCTCGCCCTCCGCTCCCACGTCGCTCCTCTCACGGCCTCGTGTGCCCGCGGCTGCCACGGGGATGCGTGAGCACCTGCGTGACCCCGCGCGGGGCCTGCCGGAGCCCTCTGACCCCGGCTCGCGGCCGGCTCCCCGCGTCTCCCGGTCTCCGTTTACCGCCTTCTGTTCTCCGGTCGCTGCGTCTGCCGGTCCCGTGTCCGCCTCGGGGGACGAGCACCGCTGCAACTGGGGCTTTCCTTCTGCAGGCAGGTGCCCCCCAGGACGGGACCGGGCGCCCGGCGGAAACCGGAGACGTGGCTCTCGGAAATGCACGATCACGCGGGGGACTGTGCAGGAGACAGCGGGTCCCGCCTCCCCGGGGCCACCCCTGGGACTCCTCAGGTTTCTGGGGCGGCGTGCGGCTCATTCCTCACTGATCCCCAGCGGGAAAGCGAGAACTCCTGGGGGAGAGGGCTGGGGGGCTCCGTCTGCTCAGCACCTGATGTGGTTTCGGCTCAGGTCGTGGCCTCGGGGTCGTGAGATGGAGCCCCACGTCCGGCTCTGCAGGGAGCCGGCTTGATTCCGTCTCCCTCCAGCCCTCCCCCGACTCCGGCCCGAGCAGGCACGTTCTCTCAAATCAACCTTTTTAAAATGCACACGGAAGCCATCGGCAGTAGCAGCCCTCGGAGAATGAGACGGAAGGTCGCTCCAGCGGCGACTCTCAGGGCGCACGCACGCTCGCAAGGAGGTCGGGCTGCCCCTTCCACGCTCCGCCCCTCACCCTCCGTTCCTACCCACTTGTTGAGTCTCCCTGGGAACGCAGGGCAAACCTGGAAAATAAAAGTATTTTCTTTTCTTTTCTTTTTTTTCTTTCCATAAATGAATGAGTCCAGTCCACTGGGCAGGTTTAAGGATCCTTTATTACTGAATCAGTATGTACAGAAAACCCTCCCGTGAAAACAGCGAGTCACAGGGTAGCAGACTATGTACAATACTTTTCCGTTTTTACAAAATTTTTTACAAGATTACTTCTCTCTGAAGAGCATGACAGACACACACAAAAATCGAACTTTTTTTTTTTTATCACATCCATAAATAAATATCGACTTGACACGATCAGTAGAAGAGACGACGTCTGTCCAGCATGGGGATGAGACGGTCGCCGCTGCGTTATCCGCACGCGACGGCATCGTTAACGGGTCAGTTACAGACAGATCTCGGTTAATCACTCTGAGAATTGTGTAACGTGCTACAAGACTCAGGAGAGGTGAGAAACGGAGTCCGGCCGTGCACAACTGTAGGCAAGCGTCACCGTCTTTACGCAGCTATGATTTTAAGTGAACTAGAAGTACATGCAACACGTATGTAGGCTTTGTGTGCTGGGGACAGCGCGAGGGTTTGTGAAACGAGGCAGAGCTATTTGCAGTCGTGGGAATGAGTAATTAGTAAATCCATGGCCCAAGGCATAGGAAAGGGCATTAAATAAATAAGTCATTATCGTTAGAGATGCCGACCGACAGGAAGGATTAAGTATCTGTGCTCGGGTGACAGACAGACACGTCCGAACTCGGTCTGCCCATTAGGTTTTTCAGGGTCGTGATAAGAGACATAATTCAGGGCTTTGCAGTCAGGTTCCCAGCTTGGCTCCCGGGACGGACTCCTGGGCTCCTGGGTCCTGCAGACAAGGCAGGTTCTCCCGAGTTCAGTAAATTTCACCCCCTCTCTGGTGCACGGATTCTCAGCTGGGATGGGGGACTTCATCCCCCAGGGGCGAGTGGGCAGCGTGCGGAGAATTGTGGATTGTCGCAACATGGGAAGGTCCTCCTGGCATGTGGTGGGTGAGGCCAGGGCCACCGCTGGGTGCTCTACGGTGCTCACGGCGCCCTGGAAAGGACAGTGACCCCCCACCCCTCCCCACCACCTGCGCCGACGTGGACACAGCCTTTTCTGCACACTTACGGGTTCATCTAGGTTCCCAGCACATGGATGCATCTTTACACTTGAACTTTGCTTAATCGTCTTTTCAGAGAACGGCCTGTTGTCAGTTTCACCGTCTCTAATATGTCCTAGTGACACCACGAAGGACTCGAAAGGGCACACGCTCCCGTAAGAGGCACGTGCGGAGCCCCTGCTGGAAGGACAGGGAGCAGGTCCCTTCCCCCGAGAGACGGTGGGCTGCAGGCAGACGGGGAGGAACTGTGGTGAGTACGGCCTTAACCCCTGGGATCTCAGCACTTGGTATTCTCGATGGGCTCTACTGTTAAGACTACGTATTCTCCCCAAATGTATTTTTTCTCCTATGAGAGAGACGCGTTTCATTGTCATAAGACCTATTGGAGACGAGCCACCAACAGTGTTTAGAGAAAACAACGCATATCCTTTTTCATTAGGGCACTCAAATTTTTAAAATCAAAGAAAAAAAATGTAATGATATATGGCCAATTTGCATATTGTTGAAAGTCACTGGCATTCATAAACTCCTGTGTCCTTAATCATTTAATTAATAGTTTTCTTCCAATAATGTGAAAAATTAAAATTTTGTTATCGCAAACTCTGACGCTCACAGGAGTGGCTTTCAAGTTTGAAAGGAGGCTCTAAGCCCCAGAACCTTCTTCCAGACTGAAAATGTATTTTCTCATTGTCTGTTGCGCAGACAAAAGACACACAATTAAACTTTATAAAATGAAGCTTACAGAATAATTTAATAACATTTCACCTCTCTGTGTACACGCCTGCATTTTGAACGATACAATGGCACAAACATTTGAGGACACACATACTGGGTTTATTCGTGATAAGTTCAGGGTAAAGATGACCTTGTGGCCAACGTTCGATGTTTTTGTTGGTGAAAATTTGAGAATTTGACATTCAGAGGGGGCTCGTGGCACTGGCTGAGTCCTGGTTTCCGTGAAGGTACCTGTGCTGCTGGGTCCAGCTCGGGCGGTTGGAAACGAGGGGAGGTCCTGTTGGTTCCGTGGGGAAGCAGGCGACTTCGGGGCTCGCCGTGCGGCCCGTCCCGACTGCGTCAAGAGCCGCGCTCGAGTGCTGGGAAGCCTGGGCACCTGCGGGCGGGCCTTTGCCACGGGCGTCCCTGGTGCGGAGCTGCAGCACCCCGAGCGTCTTCACCGGAAGTCTTGGCTACACAGCAGGCAGGTTCTACTCTGTTTCCACGTGTCCATGCGTACAGACCGCGTTCCCCTAACGTTCGCATCCGTCTGATCATAAAAACACTCTGTCTCCCTTTTCTAGCACGTTTGCCTTCAGAACTCGTGGGCGGAGGCGTTCCGAGCCGTCCCTGCGGCCGCGCGCTTCCAGAAACCCACAGGTACCCGGTGCCAGGCGCACAGCGCAGGAGCGCGGCCCCAGAGCTCTCCCCGGCCGCCGCCGTGGCTGCGCGGACAGAGGAGGAAGCCCGTCCTGCCAGGTGCTGGGGCAGCTACAGCGCGCGCTCCTCCCGGAGACAGCACCGACGGCACACACGGGACCCTCCCGTTTAGGAGAACCAGGTCTGCCTGCACCGCTGGGAGCGGTCCAGAGATTCCCGCACTGAGTCACACTGAAGGTGTGTGTGTGTCTGTGCACGCACACGCACACGCACGCACACGCGCACACACACACGGCTGCGGACTCCACTCCGCGTCTGCGGACGTTCCCTCAAGAATAGCCTGCGTGAGACTCCGCATTTCCGGGCTTCAGGCTGCGCCCGTGCTCGGTGGCACCGCGGACGGGGCCGGGCTCTGACCCGGGTCCACGCTGGGAAGGCTGGTTTGGCGCCAGGCGGTCCCACGGGACGGATTCCGAAGAAGAAAGGCAAGGAAAGCGCTCTCGTCGATCCGCCCGGCCCTGTCCCGCGTTCCCGAGAATATTCTAGCGTTCAGTTGGCTTCCTGTGGCGAAGGAAACGCGAATCTCGGGAGAGCGTGCCCAACACGCCACGCTTGGGATTCTCCCCTTACGCGGGAGCTTTTGTACTCCGTGCGGTGCACGACGCGGTGAAACAAAGGACAGTGGCAGCTCTTCTGTGCACGGAGGGAGAAAGGAAAAAGAAATGAGAGCATGGATCGGGGAGGCCTGTCCTTTTCTAGGAGGAAGCATGAAAGCGCATGCCCAGGAAAGCATTCGGATTTCTCCACGGCCGACGGACAGCGGCAAACTCGCTGGACGCGGCCTGCTCCTGGGGCCCCTCGTAAGACACGGGCCGCACACGCGCCGCTCGTTGGCCCTGGTGCGAAGGGGGCTGGGGCTGCGGGGGTGGACGGTGGCAGACGGAACTTGACCGCTCTGCATTGGAGGGTGGGACTCAGTCTCACGGTAGGAATCGCCAGGTAAGCGCTGGGACTACGTCGGGCTTACAGACTGCGTCCCCTTACGGGAGTTTGCAAATCAAAGCAATCATTGAACTTTTAAAAACGTTTTATTGACGGACGTCACGCTCGGTACGAGTGTGCCCTGCGTGTGTGTTACACGGATGTGTGCTGAGCACGCGCGGCGCCGGGTCCGGGAGCTCTCGCCGTGCGGCCATCCCGTGGAGATCCGTGCCTGCGTTGGCCAATGCGCGGACGGGGATGTCCTGCGCGGGGGGCCTCATCATTTCCTCCATTCTGGGAAGTGGTGTCCACCCCCACCGGTGGCCGTGTGTCTCTCCTCTCCACCTGCGTCGAGATGGCCAGAGGGACCCAGGGCACAAGGTCACACGGGAAAGGGAGGTCATGCGGGGCGCCCGCGGCCCTCGTCGCCGCGCAGCTGCACCCGCCCGCTGGTTCTGCGACTCTCAGACGCTGTGGGAACCGTTTAGTGTCTTTCCGGAGAAGGCGGGTGGTGGTGGGGATGCCGAGCTTTCAGATGGGGTCCTGCAGTGGGGGGGAGAGGACACACGGATCAGTCATGGTGCGCTAAGGGAAACGGAGGCTGGTGGGGACAGCGTCAAACCCATAGAGACCTCCCACCCGCAGCCGCGTCTCTCCTACTCGGACTCGGACTCCCCTTCCTCCCCTTCCCCTCCTTCCTTCCGCCCCGAGGTCCTAAGATCCCAGGGGAATGGGACACGCCCACTTCCTGCGTCACAGTTAGGAAGCCAGCCCGGTCCTTCCTCTTTCCTCAGGACAGAAACACGTCACCACTTCTGTCCAAGACCCAGTGTCCGAGGAGGAGCATCAGGACAGCATGGCCCAACACCAACGACGACAGCAGGGCCGCCCCGCTCGCCCGTCGTGAACGCGGTCCGTGTCACGGGGGGCGCACACAGTGACGGAGGCACGCGCAGTCATAAAGGCAGAAGCAGGAGTGCGTCTCCGTTCTCTTCCCAACACACAGACCTTTAGGCCCCGCTTTTACGTGCAGCTGGGGACGATGAGGCACGTAAAAGTCGGCAAGAGCCTCACCGTCTCGAAGCAGTGGGTGACAATTTTCTCCTTAACCCAGAACTGACTCGGACTGATTAGGGTCGTACGGTGAAGCAAGTTCACGTGGGGTGTCAGAGCAGACCTGTGTACTACAGTCGTCCTTACCGGATTCATTTCCTAGACCGCCATATTTGAAAATCTTAATTTTTAAAATGATTCCCGAATCATAGATGTATTCACGGGGTAAAAGGGAAGAAGCGTGACGTGTGGAGAAGAGCAGGGCAGGGACGAGGAGGAAAGCGCGGCGGGCCGGGAGCGAGTGGAGAAGCAGCAGCCGCACACCCGAGCCAACGCCGTGCAACAGCGTCCGGCCCACAGACACTCATGGGAGGCAGAGTTCCAGGCCCAGAGAACCCGGAGCTCGGGGACCGGTGCCAACCCTAGTGTCTCCCACAGACCGTGGCCCGTGCGTGTCCCCCACTCACTGTGCGCGGAGGGCGGCGTGAGGTCGGGCGTCCAGAAGGTTTTGACGGTGGCCGGGCCTTCGCCTCCCGCGGTCAGCACCTGCACCTCCAGTCGGTACAGCGTGGACGGTCTCAGGTTGGGCACCGCGAGGACGTAATGGTCCTGGGAGGCACAGGAAAAGAGATGCTCATCAGTGACCTTTCCAGGACAGGCACGGGGACACGCGTCCTCTGAGCGGCTCCTCCCCGGCCGAGAGCAGGTGTGCGTGCAGAGAGCGGCAGGTGGGAGTGCATGCAGAGGGGCAGGGGTGACTGTGCAGAGAAGAGCACGTGGGAGCCCAGGGACAAGGGCAGGCGTGAGGGTGCGGAGAGGGGCAGAGGTGAGGCACGGACCGGGGCAGAGGTGAGCGCACGTGAGCACACGGACGGGTCAAGTGTGAGCACTGGGAGAGCAGCAGGGGTGAGCGGGCGGAGAGGAGTGGCAGGGGTGAGTGTCCAGAGAGGAGAGCGGCAGGGTGAGCACAGGCACGGGGGCGGGGGCAGCAGACACAACGGCCACCCGTGCCCCGTGGAGCGCTCTGCCGCGTCTCCCCCTCCACGCCCCGGGCTGGGCAGCCCCACGCTTGGCCGGGAAGGCTGTGGGGAGGGGCCGGTTCTCAGGCTCGCCCTTGGGCTTTCATTTTTTCCTCCTTAACGTAAGACTTTCCCATGGTTTAAAGTTTTCTTCTGCACGTCTTGTGATGTGAATTCCTGATAATCCAAATTTCAAGCCAACTGTTTCCCTCAACACCAGTGTCTGTCCATGCCCATGACTGAAAATGTTTATTTTTATGCCAACACATTCTTCTCAAAATTCAATAAAACCTAATACATTCATAGAATAACTACTTTCTAATTCCAAGGAATTTTTCCTTCCGGACTTCAGGTTTTTTCTTTCTTTTTTCCTTTCTTTTTGGAGCCAGAGTTGGATATCCTAAGGGCATTTTTAGAGGGAGTAAAAGCCCACACATGGGTTTTTTTCCCAAGCCAAGGAATTAAGTGGCCTGGAAGACACGCCAAGTCTTTATGGGCTCGAGCCAAATGGCAACAGGGAAAGGGAGAGAAACAACAAGCTTCCTTTAGCTGTTTTCCCCCCAGTTTAACACTTGAAACAGCACACGTCCACGCGGACCGCAGGGACACGGGTTCACAAACTGTTCAGTCACTTGCCTACGACACAGGCTGGGGGCTGTGGAGGACCAGGGCTCACACCGGACGGCAGACCCTGCTCACGGCAGCGCCCTGTCCCGACCCCCGCACCCTCCTCCAGCCAGCGGGAGAAGACGCGGCTGGTTGGCCCGCGGCCTGGCGGCAGGACTCTGCGGGCGGCCGGGAGCCGCGGGGACGGCGGCGCACACGGGGAGCAGAGCGGGCACCTACCGAAGGCAGGATCTGCGAGCGGGAGATGATGCTGTTGGGTAAGCTGTTCTGTCTGCTCTCGGTCGTGACCTCGGCCCAGGTCACTTGAAAGCCGGTCATGGGCTGGTAGAGGTTGGCCTTGGCCATCTTCCAGGAGAAGTGGGCCGTGATGTTGGCGTCCTGGATGACGAACGAGGCAGAGAGGTTTTCGGGCTTGGCGAGCACTTTGGCCGGCACGTGACCTGCAGCGAGGGGGAGAGGGGACCCGCGTGAGGCTGCTGGACGGAGGGGGACAACGGGGCCCGTCTGCACGCACTGTGGCCAAACCCAGGAGACGGGGGCCCAGGCAAGGCCGAGCTCGGCCTCCACGCGTGGCTTCTGGAAACCACCTTTTTGCCCTCCGGGGACGGTCCATGTGCCAGAGTCGCTCTTGTCCCTGCAACTGGGTGCTGGGTGCTTTGGGAAGTCTTTTCTGGGCCCTGCTTTGGGGGCGGAGGAGGGAATTCTGCAGTGTGGTATGGCCCGGCTGCCGCTCTGAGAGCGGAGGTGACCACAGCGACAAGGGTGGACAGTGAAGTGATGGGACGTCGCGCTCTGTCGCTCGGAGGAGCTCAGGAGGCCCCCAGGGAGCCGTGCAGCTGCCCGGAGGGGATGCGTGCACACTCGGGGTTTGGTGCGTGCTGTGCACAGGGCGTGAAGGCAGCTGGCGTGGCAAGGGGCTGGGAGAGATGGAATAGCACGGAGTCCGCCAAAGCCCGCGGGATACGAGAACCTTTCCCTCGTTTCCCAGCAGGCAGTGCCCCGAGCGCGGGACCTCGTCCTGGGCCTGGGACAACGAAACCATGACGTGTCTAGCCGTGCACATCAGCGCCCGAATGGGGCCGTCGGCCGGCCATCCGGAAGACGGCAGCTCTTGGCGGGTCCGCCGCGGAATCCGGTTAGCGACAGTATTCTAAGTGCCGCCAGCGTCCTGGACGCGTGTCTGAAGCTGGCGGGAGACGCGCCCGGCTCTCCAGGGCAGCTAATGGCGGGGAGGGGTGTATCTGGCTCTCCGCGCAGCTAACATGGGCCGGGGGAGGGGACAGAAGGAGGCGCACCGGCTCTCCCGGGCAGCTGAGGGGGGCGGGGGACGCACCTGGCTCTCCGGGGCAGCTAACCGGCTTGTGGCTCTTCCCCTTCAGGGCGGAGCACGGCGGTGTTGTAAAGAAAACCGTCTCTGCCTTCAGGTGGCCAGTGGGTCGCGTGGGCTGCACGGTGACCTTGTATTTGCAGGAGAACGACAGATCTTGCAGAATGATGTGATTGTCCTAACAGCAAGAGAAAGAGAAGATGCTGCAAGAAGTCTCGTTGGGGACACAACCAGCTCGGCAGGAGCGGAAACCATAGAGCAACAAGGACGATGCCCTCTGCACGCAGCGTGCGCGTGTGGCTTTTATGCACATCAGAGAGGAGACCCAGTCCCTGTTGGGACGAAGGACCACCGACCCCTCCATCCCCGGGCGTGGGAGACGCCCCTGGACTTGGGCACGACCGCGGCGCCTTCCAAGCAGGCGCGACCCAACCACAAGCACCAGTGTCGGTGGTTGGAACAGGACGGAAAGGGGAACTCGGGCTTCTCTGGGACTCGGGTCAGGACTCCTCTGTCTGCGCCTTCCTTCCCCGTTCCAGGCTGCTGTTCCGGCCTCGGGCCATCCCGCTGCGCCGGCCCAGACGCGCAGACGCGCAGACCGCGGGCCGAGCCGCACCGCGCGCTAAGGGCGAGCCTGGGTCTGGGGCTGTAGTGGGCGCAGCTGCGTCCCCGGAACGTGGGCCTGCGCTGCCTCTCCGGTCTGCGCCACCGGCGCGTACCCGAACTCGATGCCCTCGTGGGCAGACGGAGACCGGACCCCTGTCCGGGCCGCACCGACAGCCGCGGGGGCGAGGCCGGGGCACACACGGGGAGGGCGGTACAAGCTGAGGCTCCACCCACTCCGCCCCTCAGGGAGTCTGGAGTCCAGGAGCCCAGGGACGCGCGTGGAGGGGGATGCGCACGGTGGGGGAGGGGAGGGGCTGCGCACGGTGGGGGAGGGGAGGGGCTGCGCGCCTGATCGCAGGGGCAGCGCGCACCCCGGGATTCAGGGCACGGCGCACACGCAGAGTGAGCCGGGAACCTCACAGGCCTGCGGCGTCGCCGTGGGGGACGGAAATGCTTCCCTGCGGGAGTAGGACCGCACCCTCTCCTGGGAACACGCTGCAGTCCCCACCCGCTAAGGTCAGCGCTGGGCAGCTCTTTTGGGAACGCTTCCAAGGGGGGCGGGAGGCAGACGTCGGGAGCACGAGGTGGACTCCCGGACGCTCCATCCTAACTGCAAACCAGGCGCCTAAAAGCTGTTTACAGATGGAGGAGGCCAGCGGCAGCCTCTAGCAGGCGGCGGCGTGACGCCCACTTCTCCGGGACACGCGTCCAGGTCCAGCTCCGTCTTCCCTTCAGGGTTTGCGGAGGGGAGAAGCCACGCTTGGCTGCGCCCGGGGAACAAGGCGGATCCCCGACCACCGCAAGGCGCACCCGGGAACACTAGGGCAAGCCTCGCCGCTGCGCACAAGAACTGGAACAGACCCTGCTTGGGTCCTGCCTCCCTGCGGTCCGAGTAGGCTTCCCTTGGACGGATGCAATTCTTTGTTACCGAAGGCCCCAAAAATTGGAAGCAGCCGACCACGCGCGTGCTTTGGGACCAGTCGAATCCGGTAAACTGTATTTCTGCAGACCCGCTGACTTGTTTTATCTTACTTTATCTTAAAGTTATGTGATCCGATAGGATTCTAAAAATACCGTACTTGCTGCTTTAGAAAATACTCAGAAGAAAACTGTTCCCCTTGCCGATCCCGTATCAGCCTCTCGGACAGCTGCGGCCCTGCCTGTGGGTATGGTGAACCCCCGCTGCTGCGTCCCACGCGCAGCCGCCCTCCCCGCAGCACTCTCCGCTGTCTGCTCCAGGCTCCTCTTGAGTCCACGTGTCGACCCCGTGTTTGGACAAGCACGTGCAGTAACACTGATCAGGTGACTGTCCCCAAGGGGTCGACATTCTTTCCAAATTAAGTGGGGAAAGCGCCGGTGCTCTGTGCGGCACAGACAACAGCTCCGCGCACTGGACGACAGGGTGCTGGGCAGGGTCGCGGCAAAGCAAGGCGCCCCACGGTCGTCAGAAGGTGACGGGGACAGTATCACCCCAACATCGTGCTGCCAGGATCCAAAAAACGAGGCAAAGCTTTCGTCCAACGAAGGGCAGATGCACAGGAACTCGCAACCAGGTCCCCTCTGACCCCGGAGTCCCGAGGAAGCGCATCTTTAACCCTATGTTCTGTGACCTGCCCGGAGCCAACAGGGGCTCAAGTCCCCAGGGAGGTTGTGAGCAAGGACAGAATATTAGGGGACCGCTTTGTGGGCCCGTGTACGTCGTTACTAGTTAGCAGCTACCGGGTGACAACGAGCTCTTGGGGGGGGGGGGGGGGAGCACCCTTTGCCCATCTCTGCGCACAGCTGTTACACAGACCCCGTGGAGCGAGACACGTGCAAGCCGCGTGACACCTCTCACCTGGGTGATGCTGGAGGAGGCCTCGGCCGCGCTGCTCTGGTTCTGGGCACAGACCTCCGGGAGCCACTGCACGTGGTACCGACTGACGCTGGGATCTGCAAGGTCAGAGGAGCACAGGCTGCCGCCACGGTCCCCATCGGCCGCAGCTCCCAGACCGGGACGCAGCGGGAGGGGACGTGCGCATGTGCTGCAGGCGTCCGAAAGCGCACACAGGACAAGGGAGGGGGCCGGTCTGCAGAACCAGGACTGTCGCCGGGAGGAGAGTCCAGGAGAAACCCACGGAAAAGGCCAGAAAGTACAGGACTGGCCTGGCGGCATGGCCACGTGGTGTGGAGGGGGACCTCACTGCGGTTTGTGGGCTGAGCACACCCCCACGCGAGAGGGCGGCCCTCGGCCCAGGAGGCCTTGTTCCTGCAGCAGGGAGCCGTCCCCACAGATGTGGCTCTGACGCCTTCCAAGAAAGCCGAGGGCCTATGCAGCCCGGGCCACCTGCACGGCACCTCCTCGCGGCGGGAGCCCTGAGGAACACAATGCAGTCCCCGGTGCACGTGAGCGTTCCCGCAGCCCGCGGCCAGGGACAGCAGTTCCCCGTGGTCTCCTCGCGTGTGGTCCCCCGAACCCCGAGCCGCTCGGGGCGCCCGCGAGAGCACAGAGCCTGCGAGCCCGTCCTGCCCGGGCCGAGCGCGTGTTCTCTGCCCAGTGCTGGAGTCGGGGCCATTGCTCAGGGAAAGGACAAACCCACCACCAGCCCCTCGCCCAGTGTGGGGAGGGAGGTGTGGCCGGTGTCGGGTCAGTCGCCCGCCTGTGGGCCCGAGGGTGGGAAAGGGCGCCGCTCTGCCACCGACCAGCATCGCATCCTGGTATCCAAGTGCTGGATGGGGCTTTGTGGAGGGGAAAACGCTCGATGGCACTGGATGACCCCAGGGGAAGCCGGTTTGAGCACTTTGGAATGAGAAGAGACCCCGGGTCTGAGAGGCTGAGCAGGGCTCAAGCAGGCGCCCTGGGTGTTTGCTTAAAAGGGAAACTTTGGACCAGACGCTGTGAGAGGCACACGGCAGGCTGCGGGGCTCTTTTGAGGGCAAGAATGGGACATTCTACACAAGCGTGAGGTTGGCGAGTGCAGGCCTCTGCTTCCGTTGCAGTGCTGCTGGCCGGGGCACAGAACACAGCAACCACTCCACAACAGCTGCTCTTGGGACCTTAGGCACCGACAGCCGAGGGAAACCGGGAACAAGGCAGGTGCGTGCGGTCCACCTGAGGCTAGAAGGGTGTGTTTGTTCATGCGGATCAGTACAGAGGGGAGGGGACCGGTGCATAGCCAAGAGGGACCACTGTGCCTACAATGGCTGTAGCGTTACTTGGAGATCGAGCTCTCAAGGGAGACGCGGATCAGGCCTGCTGGTGGGCGCGGGCCAGTCTGTACATGTTCCTGGTAGTGCAGATGGTCCTGGGTGGTCTATAAAGCCGTGTCCAGTGCAGATGTCCATGGGCAGTGTAGATGGCCATGGGCAGTGTAAACAGTGGTGGAAAGTATAGATGGTGGAAGGCAGTGTAGATGGCTATGGGCAGTGTAGTTGGCTGTGGGCAGTGTAGATGGCCATGGGCAGGCCTGGCGCTGGCGTGGGTAGTATAGATGGCTATGGAGAATGTAGATGGCCAGGGGATGACCGTGGGCAGTGTAGATGGCCGTGGGCAGGGCTGGTGACGGCAAGGGCAGTATAGATGACCGTGGGTACTATAGATGGCCATAGGCAGGCCTGGTGCTGGTGGGGGTAGTGTAGATAGCCGTGGGCAGTGTAGATGGCCATGGGTAAGCCTGGTGATGGCAGTGTAGATGGCCATGGGCATGTAGATGGCCGTGGGCAGGCCTGGTGCTAGTGAGGGCAGTGTAGATGGATGTGGACAGCCAGGCCTGCTCATGACCATCTACACTGCCCATGGCTATCTACACTGCCCACTCTCATGTACACTGCCCACAGCCATCAAACTATCTATGGCCATCTAGACTGCTCACGCCAGTACCAGGCCTGCCCACAGCATCTACACTGCCCGTGGCCATCCATACTACCCACAGCCATCTACACTGACCTCAGTCATCTACAATGGCCACAGCCGTCTGCACTGCCCATGACCTTCCACACTACCCAGGCTAGCACCAGGCCTGCTCACTGTCATCTACACTGCCCATGATCATCAACACTGAAAACAAGAGCGCCAGGCTGGCCAAAAGCCATCTACACTGCCCACAGCCATCTAAATTGCCCACGCCATCACCAGGCCTGCTGATGGCCATCTGTACTACCCACGGACATCTATGCTGCCCAGGACAGGACCAAGCACCCACGACCATCCATTGCCCACAGCCATCTACATTGACCACAGCAACACCAGGCCTGCCCACGGCCATCTACACTGCCTAAAATCATCTACATTCCCCATGGCCATCTACACTACCCAAACCACTGCTCAGCCTTACCACGGCCGTCTACACTGTCCATGGCCATCTACATTACCCACGCCAGCTCCAGGCCTGCCCACGGCCGTCTATACTGCCCATGGTCATCTACACTAGCCACGAACATCTACACTGCCCATGGCCATGTACAGAGCCCACGCCAGCACCAGGCCTGCTCACAGCCATGTACTTGCTGTTTTTTTCAGTGTTGAATGCCATGGGCAGTGTACATGGCCGTGGGCAGGCCTGGTGGTAATGTGGGCAGTGTAGATGGTTGTGGTTAGTAGCCACTGCCTTTAGCCAGTGCCAGGCCTCCCCACAGTCATCTGCACTGCCCCCGGCCATTTACACTGCGTATGCCAGCACCAGGCTTGCTCACGGCAATCTACACTGCCCACAGCCATCTGCACTGCCCATGGCCATCTACACTACCCACCACAGCACCAGGCCTGCCCACGGCCATCTTCAGTGCACACGGCCATCTAGACCGCCCACGGCCATCTACACTACCCTCACCAGTGCCAGGTCTGCCCACGGCCATCTACAGTGCCTATGGCTGTCTACACTCTGAAAAGCAGAGGGCAGAATTCCATCAGGGCAGCTGAACAGCTGAACTTTGATCCTCACTGGGCGAGACTCTGGGGAGCTGGGCCGGGGGGGGGGGCGCAGATGTGGAGTTCCTCCCCCGCCAAGAGACTGCACAACAGCTGGCGTGCAGAGCAGCAGCTGAGAAGCAGCAGCGTGCAACACACGGGGGGCTCCCCGGCAAGGAGATTTGTTCCCTAAGCTCAGAATGTGTGGTGCCTGGCAGGGATGTGTGGGACATGTGTCCAAGAACAAACAAGGGGTGGGCACCACAGACTCTCTGTGCCAACAGTGCTCCTCTGCAGATGTGGCTCCCAGAGCCAGGCCTCGGCTGCAGGCCTCCCCTCCAGGAGGCCCTCAGGAGCCCTGCTCCTAGCACACGTCCTGCCCTCATGTGCTCCTGAGCCGCGCACCTCCTCCCGCACCGTTTGGGCCAGCCCACAGAGAGTGGGGCCACCCCCAAGGTAATGTCTTGGGGAGAGGGGAAGAGGGCCAACGTGCTGTCTGACGCAGCCCCTGTGGCAGCCTGGGGCTCCGCCCACCCACAGACGACTGGGAGTGCGTGCCCTAGGGGTGGGAGCTACTCCAGCTCTGCCCAACGCCAGGTGTCACCCACTCAGGGGCACCGTGGCCCCACACTGGCCCGTCAGCACCACAGGACCAGTCCCTGCCCATGATACGTAGGACAGAGGACAAGAGAAGAAAAAAGAACTACAAAAACAACTGTAAAACAAGTAAGTAAATGACAATAAGCACACACCTATCAAAAATTAGTTTGAACGTAAATGGACTAAATGCCCCAATCAAAAGACAGAGAGCGAGGGAATGGATAAAAAAGCAAGACCCAGCTCCATGCTGCCTAGAGAGACTCATGTCAGACCTAAAGACACCTGCAGACTGAGCATGACGGGATGGAAAAGCATTTATCAGGCAAATGGAAGTGATAGGAAAGCCTCGTGACAACACTGAAATCGGACAGACGAGACTTTAAAACAAAGACTGTAGCAGGAGACAGAGAAGGACACCACGTAATCATAATGGGAACAGGCCAACAAGATCTAACAATTGTAAATATTTATGCACCCGTGTGGGAGCGCACAACTCCATAAAAGCAGTTAGTAACAGACAAAAAGGAAGTAATCAATAATAACACCACAACAGTAGGAGACTTTAATGCCGCACCACATCAAGGGACAGATCACCGAAGCAGGAAATCAGCAAGGAAACACTGGCTTTGAATGAGACATCGGACCAGACGGATCTGATATAGTCAGAACTTTCTACCCTACAACAGCAGAATACTCATTCTTCTCAAGTGCACATGGGACCGTCTCCAGAGCAGATCACTTGTTATGCCACAATATTAGTCTCAACAAATTAAAAAAGGTTAAGTCCTACTATGCATCTTTCTGAACCACAACACTAGGAAACTAGAAATCAACCACAAGAAAAAGTCTGTAAAAAATACAAGTACATGTGCATCACATAACATGCTACTAAATAATGATTGGGTCACCCAAGAAATCGAAGAGAAAATAAAAAAATACATGGAGACGAATGAAAACAAAAACACAGGGCTCAAAATCTTTGGAATCCATTAAAAGCTGTTTTTAGAGGGAAGCTTATAGCAGCAGAGGCCTACCTCAAGAATCAAGAAAAATCTGACCAACCTTACACCTGAAGAAGCTAAAAGAAGAACAAACAAAACCTAAACTGTTTTACAACGAAGTACTAAAGATCAGAGCAGAAATAAGTGAACGAGAAACCAAAAATACAATACAACAGATCAATGAAACCAGAAGCTGGTTCTCTGAAAGTAACAACAAAACTGATAGACCTTTAGCCAGAGTCAGGAGAGAGACACAGAGAGAGGTGGGGTACTCAAACAAAGATATGAAACAGGAGTCATAGGAACCAAAACCACAGCTACACAGGATTATCAGAAAATATTATGGAAAATTAAGTGCCAACAAATTAGACGACCTAAAAGAAATGGATAAATTCCTCAAAACATATACCTCCCAAAACTGAATCAGGAAGGAAGTGAAAATATGA